ATTAGGTCCAGTGCCTCACCCATGCAAGGCGAAACCTCTAGCACTAGACTCTACTCTCTGCCCAATATTTCTTTTTCAAACACCTGCCCTCCCAATTTTGTCCTGAAAGTATTATAGATTTCCTGAGATTTTCACCATTCAGCAGCCTGTGGTCCAAGAAATACCCGCCTTGCCAGGGTCCCTTTCCCACCATTGTGGAGTTCAAGCTGTGTGCATTTGAGCTCCATCTTTAGGATGTCTAGAGAAGCTCCCTCCAGAGGCTTACCTCCTCCCCAGGCAACAGTGCCTTCTCCAAGCCTGTGGTCATGGGCAAGCACTTCTCTGTGCCGGCCTTAAATAGGGGCTGCTGTCTTGGCAGAGTCTGGAGAAACAGGCTGTGTTGCTTATCAGCTCTTAACTGTGAGCCAATCCTGACGTTTTTATAGCCCCTTATTATACTATAAGTTTTTCAGTTTGTAGCTCAAAATCATATTGATAAGAATATGATATCCAGGCTTTGGGAAATCAATTCCAGATCCTGAATTTTTCACATGCCAATGGTCTAAGTCACATGGACAGTGAGCTGCATTAGGCACATTATATAAACCATATGCATCCTAGGTGACTTTGTTTTGTATTGGAAATGCATGAAAACCTGTGGAGACGTGGGCAGGAATGTGGGTAGCAGTGTCACTTGACTATTACTGCTATTTGCCTGAGCGCTATTTGGAGGTTAGCACGGTGGTCAGTGGCCTGTTAGCTGACTGGTTTGTGAATGTGCTGTCTTCTCTCCATTAGCCCTTGCAGGAAGGAGTTAAGATAGCATTGTTCATTTTTTTTTTTTTTTGGAATCGAACTCAGGACCTTGCACTTGCCAGGCGGGCACTGCGCTACTGTTTACTTTTGCAGAGAAAAACCAACTCAGAGGCTTAACATAATAGAAATACAAGGACTGATCGTAAACTATGGTGGATTTTTAAATCAAAAATATTTATTGCAATCAAAGATACCTTTAATCCCTCTCAGTACACTCTCCTTTCACTTTAAACACACTAATTCCGTGTTCTTGCCACTTTCTAAAGCAGTTCTGGAAGTCCTCTTTCAGGAATGTCCTTAAAAGTCTGATTAAAAAAAGAGCGTCACCACTTTGTGACACGCAATGGCAAGAGCCTCATATAAATGCTATACAGTGTGTCCTCATCCACCGTAGTCACCTGATGTGGCGCTGTCTGACTTCCGCCTGTTCCCCAAAGTCATGTTGCCAATGAAAGGGGAACATTTTGAATGAATTCAGGGCATTGAGGCAGACACAGCGGCACAGCTAATGGCGCTCACGTTTCTTCCTCATGTAGAATCCAGGGAGGGGTAGGAAGTTGCAGCAAGGCTGCTCTCCAAAGCTGATTCTACCTGCAACTTCAGGTTCCTCTGGCATTTTAGAGTGCTCTGCATTTGCCCAGTGGTGGGGCAGGGAGCACAGAGAGCTGCGCAGAAGGCTTTCATGTGCCAGTTATAGAAGTAGCCACCATTCCCTGGCCAGGTTGCAACGCCGTAGCCCACAGAGGCTGGGCAATGTGGTCTAGCTGTGCATATATCTCATGCTGCCTCGGTCTTGGTTCAAGGGGCTCAGTCCCGAGCCCCTGCTCCACAGAGCTCCGCACATCACAAACATGTGCATAGGAATACACTTAATGGAACACGTGGCTGCTCTGAGATGGGGATCTGGTGCTTGGCATTGGCACAGCACAGCTCACAGCACAGACATCTGCTTCTGTGACTAACATGGTTTAGGCCCGGAGGAAATGCTTTCCTACCTCTCCAGCCTTGTGTCCTCAAAGAGAAAGGCAGCTGGATTGGACCTGAGAGCAGTAAAGGTTAGGGGTCATCTCACTGCTGGACAGTGTTGTGGAGACTGGAAGGGACGAAGCAAGGGGACTGTTAGGAGAAAGCAAACCACCAAAACCCACATCCTAGAGAGGGAGACTGCTGAAGACCTTGAGCATAACAAGGCATCATTCCCCAGGAAGAGGAGTGGCTACTGCCCAGCTTCTTCTTGTGCTGACCTATGTGACATTGGAGGGACCCACAAGGCAGCTTCACACCTACCCTTTAATTTTGCCACAATAAAAGTGCTTTTGTCATAGTGGAAATAAGGGTTGCCAGATTTGGCAAATAAAACTTTTAGGTCTTTATTTCATATGGCAACCCATCATAATTGATAATTTTAAAATATTTATGACTATGGATGGTGGGTCTCCATTTATACTCTGGCCTTGGTGCTCTGCACATTTGGGATGAAACCGAGCCCTGATTTCTTTCTTTTTTGAGATTTCCTCTTTCCTTACTCCAAGAGTGGTACTCATGACTGGTGCTAAACCAACCAGCACAAGCCAACCTCCTGGTCCAGAGGTTGGCCAGGATGAAGCTGGCTCCATTAGTGATTATTCAAACATCTTCTTAAATTGCCTTTGATTTTTCTTCTGATTTTGGACCAGAAACAAAAGCCAAGTTGCTATTGGCAGTGACGTTAAACCACAAGAATCCCATATACAGACCCTTCCCTACCAAGCATTAGTGAAGTTTCTCTGAGTCCTCTTTTCAACTAGCTCTTGACCTTGGGTCTCATTCTGACTTTGGCTGGCTCAGCCCAGTTTTGGTAAGAACCCCACTAAGCCATCTTCCTACCATTTTACTTTATCACATTGCAAGTTGATCAAGGACCTCTTGTCATCTTCTATGAATAAATCCTTGATCTGCCTTTAGTAAGATTCTTGATACATCAGTACAGCAAGAATCCTTTACTCTTGATGTTTTCTCTCCTCTTATTAATTTCCCACCTACTGACCTTTATCCTGCCCCTTGGCTGTAACCCCCACTTGTAGTCACTGTAGTTGGACTTGAGCCTGACGTCACCCTGCTATTTCAGTAATTCTATGGCTATCATCTTGAATAGTCTCCTTTATTGCATTAATGCATTAAACGTAAGAACCTTTTCTTTAACAGTACCCTTAAGATGAACACCAAAGAAGGAAGAGTAGAGAGACAGAAGGGATGATATTCCTAGAGCTAAGGTTGAGTTGATGGACCAAGTCCATGTGAATCTGGTCTCAAATACTAACTCTTCAGTCATAAAGTCAGGAAAGCTCTTCAGTGATCAAGTAAATGTGAATTACATATTGTGATATTTGCCACCAGAGACTCCTGAAAATGAAAATGATTAATTAGGAATGATGTATATGGAGGATTCATAGTAACAGATCCATCCAGAATGCAAAGAAAGCTTAAAAAAAAAAAAAAAAAAAAACAGGAGATACCAAGTAACTATCTCACTAAGGAAGCTATTAATGCTTATAAAATGCAAGTGACAGGGCAGACTCTGCTAAGCAATCCTAGCATGAGGTAGCTGTGGATAATGGAGTATCATAGCAATTGCTAACAAATAGTTAGGAAATTGCTAACAAATCAGCTCCAATAAGCAATTGCATCAGATTCTGTTCTGTATACATTCCATGCATTATTTTACTTATTCAAAAAACTAAGGTGCGTAATATATATATACCAGCTCCCTATGATGAATGTAATCATTATGTACTACAAATACACACTAGTAAAAATTGAAATTAAAAAAAATGGGGCTGGGGATTTAGCTCAGCAGCATAAGCGCCTGCCTTGCAAGTGTGCGGTCGTGAGTTCGATCCCTGGTACCGATAAAAATGAAAAAAACAAAACAAAAAAAACCCCCAAACAAACAACAAAACCAAACCTACGTGCCACATATTATTATCCGATTTTAGAGAGGAGAAAACTAAAGAATAGAGTAGTTAAGTAACCTGTATAGCGTCACATGGCTAGTCACTAGTAGAGCTGAGATTTGAATGTGAGAAACACGAGGCTAGAATGTGTGGTTTTAGTCACCACTCTGTTCTAGAAGAAGCTCCAAAAGGCTTAGAGAAGAAAAGACAGTGTTTTATCTGAAAAGCAGACGTTTTTAATGCCTCATTAAGCTTACCTCCTCCAGGAAATGTTTCACCAGCCCGCTAGAGCCTGTGGTTCCTTTTGTTTGTGATGTTTTGCCATTCACAAATTTGGACAGGATTCATTCTATGTATGTCTTTCCTGCCCTGCAGGACTTGAATATTACTGAAGGTGAATGCTGTGTCCTTTACTTTCCTCACAACTCTGAGCACAATGCCATGGGATGTCAGGTAGCTCATCAATGGTTGACAAAAGTTGACAGTCAGCTCTGGTGTGGTCTTCAGGTCTGTCTGCTCAGTCAGAGAGGCCACTGTTAGCCAGACCATTCCAACTAAAATGGGCCTGGGGCAGCAGCCAGGAGACCAGAAAGACAGCAGCTGTAACACTCAAATTCTGCTATGGTTGAATGAAACAGTACAATCACTTTGGAAGAGAGTTTAACAGTTTCTTTAAAAGTTTAAAAACTTATAGCCATCACCTGATTCAGCAATTCCCCTTCTAAGGTGTTCGCCTGTGAGAATCAACTCCATATGTTCATACAACTCCTTGTTCATGAATTTTTCATCACAGCTCTATTTACACTGGGGTACAAAAAAAAAAAAAAAAAAAAAAAACAAAACTGGAGACAAGCCAAGTTTAACCAACAGGTGAATGGGTAAATCAATTGTAAATTCATACAATGGAATGCAACAACAGTAAAAATAAAACTATTGATACACACGGGAGCATGGAGACTCTTAAAATACCTGGGCTTCACTTACACTGAGTGAGGGAAGCCAGACCCCCGCCCCTCCAAAATGCATAATGTGTGACTGACTCATTTATATAAAATTCTAGGAAATGCAAACTTATCTATGGTGACAGAATGCAAAATGTGTCTGTCTGGGATCCAAGGAATGAGAGAGAACGAAGTTGATCATTAAAAATGTTGAAATTTTAGTGATGATTATCTTGACTCATTGTTTCATAGATGTGTACATATGTTACAACTTAACCAAATTTGTACTTTGAATACTTGTAATCTCAACATAGCTGGAGGGGGAGAGATAATTCTGGCAGTAGCTTAAGGCCTGCATTGGCAAAGCTCAAAAGGGGTTACCTTGGAGAAGAATGCAGTAGGTGAGAGATAATGACAGTTTAGAGCAGGATGAGAGAAGTGGATGGATTTGAGAGGCATTCACAAGGCAAAATCTGGAGAAGGAATCAAGGACAGCTGCAAGGCTTTTGGCTGGTATAGCTGGGTGCGCCTTTTAAAGAGATGGGAGACAAGCAGGTTGAGAGTGAGGAGGTAAGGAGTTTATTTTTTGTTTGTTTGTTTTTGTATTTTGAGACAGGGTCATATTAAATTGCACAGACTGGCTGCAAATTTGCAGTCCTCTTGCTTCAACCTCCCAAGCACCGAGAAGATAGAAATGCATCACTTTGTCTGTCCTAGAGTTTAGTTTTGAATGGGCTGAATCTAGGAGCTTATGAAGCATGCAAAAATAAGTGATTTGACACAAGGCAAAAAAATTAAATTATGAAAGACCAGAGACCACATTATCTGTGTTATACCTATATATGAGATAATAATGAAATAATGTGCCTATATTGAGTTCTTTGAAATTTTCAAAAAAACAATGGATAAGAAACTGTGTGATATTCTGATGCTTTCTTCTGTTTTAAGCCATGAATCTGGTTTTAACTGTTGCCTGCTCTGTTCTAACATAGAATACTTACAGGCGTCTCCTACAAGTCTGCTTAAGAGGTGAGTGTCTGGTGACTTGTGCGAGTCTGCTTGAGACTGACAGGTAAACATGTAAGTAACATAATGTGCTACAGGGTCGCTGAAGGGCTTATATCTAAATGACCTCAGTACAAGCAACAAAGTGGTCATTTCCTCCTGGTGGCCCGAGATGCTAAGAGTAGGGCTGCCTATGGGGGCTCTTTTCTCCCTCATGCAATGGAAAGCTATTTGTTGTGACTGGCACTGGATACTGGAGACAAGGCAGCCAACAGTAGCAGACAGAGCCCCTGCCTCCAGGGGACTTCTGTCCCAGAAGGACAGGCAGAAACCTCTGAGCAAAAGGAGAAGCAGAAACCTACGAACAAAGGAATATATGTTAACAGAAATTCAGAGTATGACAAGTATGAGAGAGAAGATAAAATACGGTGATGAATGAGGAGAAATATTTAAAGAAACAGGAGAGGCCTTTACAGTAGCAAAAAAATACACAAGTGTTCATTTTAATAGTGCCATATTTAAGCTAATAAATCCAAAATTTCATCACTTCATTTGTGATCAATGCAAAAAACAGTGGGACATTTGACCTTATTTTGTGTTTCAGTCTTTGAACCCAGATGTGTGTTTCACCTGTAGGACTCTGCCATGTTGCAGGGAGCTATTGGCCACCGAGCCCAATGGCAAAGTTCTGGGATACGCTGGCAGCCTCCTCCTTTCTTTGTTACCTGGGTGTCTTGAACCTGTTCTTACATCCCACAAAAGGGGCTTTTTAATTTTAATGTGATCTGCCAATGGAGAAATTACCAGCAATGTGTGCTCATTGATTCCTGTAAGGGAGGTCCCGGTGTTGACTTGCTGGGGGTGTTGGGAAGGCTGAGTCACCACACTGATGACACAAGCCTCATGAAGGGGTCACTGGGGAGGGCGGAACTGGCTGTATCTGGGGAGCAGTTGCAGGATGTGCTGGTGTGGCTTTCTCTGTGAAGATCCCTCCTGGCTGAGACTAAAAGAAAGGAGGGGCTCATTTTGTCCCCCAGTGGTTCTCACCCTGGCAAAGAAGAAAATGAAAACGAATACTTTGAAATGCTAACTACTTCATCCCTGCCAATGTTGGTTGCTTCTAGGGAGCCCCATACTTACTTTACAAAGTGTGTGGTCTGCAGGAGAGCTGAGGGGGGCTTGCTGGTGCCCAGAGCCCTCCAGTGGGTCCTCTGACCTCACTGCAAGGTCAGACTGCTTGTTGACCCTTCTAGATTTCCCTGATCAAGATTCTTGCATTTAGAAAATGTTGCCAGCAAACAGGTGAAAGGGATTGAAGCATTGTTTTAAGGGCAAAAAGAGCAGGTTCAGAATACAACTTCTGTCCTTCTTGCCTGTGGCACTGACCCATCGTTTTCTCACATGGCTAAAGTTTGTTCCCCAGATGTGTAGCAGCAAGCGATACCACTCACACAGCCAGCATGGCGCCAAGAATGTCTGGTGGGCAGCAGTCAGCACATTTCAGCCACTCGTAGCCGTGTTGTTCTGGTGAAGAGGTGTCTTGCTCATACACACTGCCATAGCAAAGCAGCGTAGGCTGAAGGTTGAGAAACAGCAGTTCATTTTCCTGTAATCCTGGATGTGGGAAGAACTGAGATCAGGTTGTCAGCATGATGGGATTCTGGTGAGGACGTTTTTCCAGGCCGCAGACTGGTGACTTGCCTTTTTCTGGTGCCTTTTTTTCTTTCAAGAGAGCAAGCTAGCTTGCCCATTCCTCATCCTTTTCCTCTTATTCTCTCCTTTCTTTTTTTCCTTCCCTTTCCTCCTCTTTTTCCTCTCCTTGCTCTTCCTTCTCCTCCTCCTCCTCCTGTTCTGGAGATTGAATCCAGGATACTCACATTAACCTATCTTCCCAAACACTTTTCATTTATTATTTTGAGACAGAGTTTTGCCAAGTTGTTTGGTTTGGGCTCCAATTTGGAATACTCCCACCCTGGCCTCTCAAAATATAAGGATCACAGACAAGGGCGACCTCAGCTGAGACTGACCTTTTCTTTTATGGCACTAACGCCATTCATGAGGACTCCATCTTCATGACCTAACCACCTCCAAAAGTCTCCACTTGTTAATGCCATCACAGAGATTAGGCTTCTATATATGAAACTAGAGGAAAACAAGTGTTTGTTCACTACAAGGGCTTGGCCATTGTGTGATTATCTCTGTCATATTATAATTTCTGGAGGTTTTTGTGTGTGTGTGTGTGTGTGGGGTTTGTTTGTCATAATTCAAACTCACCGTAACTCTAGAAAAAAACTTTCTGATGAATTCTCTTCCCATCTTACTACACAAAAATGCGCTAGACTGCTAGAACCATCATAACAAAGTATCACAGGCTGGGTGGCTTACACAAGAAAAACTTAGCTCTGCGTAGTTCTGGGTACTGGAAGTCCAAGACCTAAGCTTCTGCAGAATTGATTTTTCCTGATACCTATCTGTGACACAATACCTGACACCCATAATTTGAAGGACAGTTTATTTTGGCTCACAGTTTGTGAAATTTTGGTCTGTAGTTGGTGAGTTCAAATGCAGAAGCAGCAGGATGGAAGCCCCGCTGTCCTAGAAAGCTGCTCACAGCAGAGCAGGCAGGAAGCAGAGAAAAAATTGACTAGCTGGGGAGGGAGAATGGGAACTTCCAGGGCAGACTTCCTGTTCTGTTGGATTAGGGTTCTACTTCTATGACCTTATGGAATTTTCATAGGTCCTCAAAGGCCTTTTCTCCAAGTGCAGTCATTTAGGTTTAGGGCTTCAGTATAATAAATTTGTGGGTAGACACATTTCACTTCAAACAAATGTCAATTCCAAATTGCCATAAAAATTCAAAGGTATGTGAACAATATTAACAGAGAATTTTAAAAACTCATTGCATGGTTTGATACTTTGGGGATAGACATGTAAGAATCCTCACCAAATTTACCTCTATAACAGTGTTTTCCAAACTTCAGTCATTTCTATACCAACATTAGGTTTTATCAGTCATAGTTCTTCATATTATAACTTCCAGTATCTTTCTTTAAATTGACTCCATATTTTACTTAAATAAATTTACTTTATATGAAAACTTAAATTACTACCATGAAATGAAAACTGCTTTGCTATTTATAGTGATCATAAATGAAACCATGAATAAATAAAAGGACTGTTACTGAATTTTTCCTACTGAGTTCCTCAACACAAACATTGTACTTACTACACACCAAATACTACCTAGGCATTCATAAATGTAATTTTGTATATTCTTCCTGACTTATGAGTAAGCTAATCTTATTTTTGTTATTTTACCGAGAAACAAACTAAGAAACCAAGAAATTAAATAAGTATCTAGAGTCATAAGGCCAGGGAGCTAACCAGTTTTTTGAGTCCAGAAAAATTTAATGACTAAAGAGCTTTTTCTGAAAATCTAATTTTTATTTTAATAGTGAAAATTTCTGTACACTAATATTCTACATTGTTAAGATGAAAAATTCAATCTTGTCAAATAAATTAGAAATGACTTCTGATTTCAAAAACAAGTCTCAGAGTTTCACTAACAGATGAGTTTCACTAACAGATAAGTAACCACACATCAAGAAAATGTTTTGGGCCAGGTCCTGCTGATCAGGAAGCCTCCTTTGGGAAGAAGTCATAATGGCGCTGAGAGACACAGGCTTGAGGTGCTTTCCTAGGCCCTGGGGTTCTTCTGATTGGGCTTCCTGAGAACCCTGTACCCACCAGGCAGCAGGAAGCAGAGTGGCAGGTGTGGCAAGCTAGAACTGAGGGTGGGGGAGGCTCACAACCCTGGCACTGCAAGCTGCAGAACTCTGACTATGTCCCTGGGTAGCAGAAAGGAGCTGGGGCGGAAGGACCCCACTGAGGAGCCTCACCTTCAAAGCTCACTGAGTCCATTTGCAGAATCAGACTGGGGGCTTCTGGAGCTCCACAAGGCTTCTCATAGCAGAACTTCCCTTCCAGAGATCAAAGTTAGCACCAAGTGGCTAACACTGCCATGACTTGCAGACACAGACACACACACACACACACACACACACACACACACACACACACATTTGAATTTTACATTATACACTATTTACCTTTACAAAAATGCTTGAAATTTTAATGTATATATGCAAAATTATATGCATAATTATTTCATTTTGCCATTGTTTTTATTTTTCAGCAACGTGCTTGAGATAATATACATGTGTATAATGAAAGTAGTTAGTCTTCCCTGTATCCCTAGCTATATGTCCCAGGACTCAGGCAGATGTGAGCTTTTCTTCCCTTCTTGCTTTTTTTCTTTCCGTATTGGGAATTGACTCTAGAACCTTACTACAGGGCTACATCCCCAGTCAGTTATTTATTTGGGCAGCATCTTATCAAGTCATAGAGCCTCCTGCCTCAGCTCTGCTATGAGCAAGGCCACCCTGATTGTAAAGGGAAGCACAGGCAAGCTCACCCCAGGCTCAGTGGAACTTATTCTCACCCCAGTACAGGGTGTGATTAAAGTGACACAGGGGCTACTTGGCAGCCAAGCCAGTAGGAGATCCTGGTGTTTGACCTCTGAGCCAAGACATCTCTTTCAAGCCCCGTGTTGTCTTTACCATTTTGTCCCCAAGGCTGCCTTGGAGGTCTGCCTTGGCAGTCACAAGGCCATTTGTACCCTCTCGGGCTCCGCCAGTCCCCTTGTGGCAGTCAGCGGGAGACTAGGGCCTGGCAGCTTCAATCCTTAAAAGCAGTTTTGTGCAAATGAGTTCCTCCCAGCCCCCAACCCTTTTCTCCCCAGCCTGCCCGGCCCACTGGATTTCTAGGCCGGGAGAAAGAAACTGGTAGGATTTAAGCACACAGAAGGCCTTGGAGCCGGGGTGGGGGTGTTTATATTTTCTCTGCATCCATTTGGATGATGGCTGAAGAGGGGAAGGGGGGGGTGCGAAGGAGAGAGAAACTTCATTTATATGTTAATAGTTGCCAGCACCCAGGCTGAAGTGACAGAACTATTTCATGGGAAA